GGGTTATTACTAGTAAAGATACTGATGCAGTAATTATGGGAGATCAACAGGTAGTTACATAGTGAGATCGGGGTTCTTCCTAGTAAAGATACTGATGCTGTAATTATGGGAGACCAACAGGTAGTTACATAGTGAGATCGGGGTTATTACTAGTAAAGATACTGATGCAGTAATTATGGGAGACCAACAGGTAGTTACATAGTGAGATCGGGGTTCTTACTAGTAAAGATACTGATACTGTAATTATGGGAGACCAACAGGTAGTTACATAGTGAGATCGGGGTTCTTACTAGTAAAGATACTGATGCAGTAATTATGAGAGACTATATTGATTGGGATTGTATGGAGCCAACTAGTGAAGAAGATAGGTTTCTTGAAGTGTTTTAGAATGATCAGAGAGCCAACCCAGGGAATGCCAGTTTAGACTTATTGTTAATTAAATACTAATTAGGATGCAAGTTCAAGAGGTGAAGTAGTTGAACATTTGGGGAAGAATAATCATTGCATAACTAAATTTGATGTTTTTATACAATTAAAATCAAGTGAAATTTAAGTTCCTAATTTTCAGAAAACCAATTTTGAGGCCATGAGACATTATTTATCATTAACTAACAGAGATAACGAGTTAAAAGATGATTTGGGAAATTTCAAAAATAAATTGTCCGATTAAGCAGTGTAGTATCTTGTTATTCCTATTCTAGCCACTATCTTTTACGAATATATTTCGTTCTTAATCTTGTCCACATAAGGATACTTCCTATTTGCTCTAACAAAAACCAGAAACCAGACAGTATGATGATCAGCCTTATAATTACACTGTACTGGGAATAAAGACTGTTTTATTTGTTCAATTGTATTTATGTTGCTGTTTGTGTTCATTCTATTCTCTGCACAATATTTCTGAAACCTGTATTTTGGTCTCATATCAATGTACCCGATTATCATATCAGTAGACAAACATCTCTATTAAACAAACTTCTCTAATACTAAAATCATAAATAATTTAAACGTTAAACTGGTACACAATTA